CATTCAAATCAAAGAATAAAATGAAATGCAAGAGTCAACTGTAAAGAACACATATAAATTAAACGTAATGTAAACAAAAGTAATATAAGAATTAAATGTAACCTTAATTAAGAGTTAATTAAATAAACAAATGTAACATTAAGGAAATATAACACAGAGCATAAATGTCAAATTAACCAAGAGGGATAAACGTAAGTAGATTAAAAAAATCATAAACAAATCAAATGTAAGATTAAGATAAGAAGAATGAACCCCAACATGAGAAATCAAATGGTACTAAACATAAAACACAAATAATACTAAACACACTATAAAATAAATGATAAGAAACATCAACAAATTATACGCAACCATAAATTCTGAACACATACTTTAGAGATTCAGGTATTTGGGACGTAATGTCTGACAGAAGCTGGCATGAGCCCTAAAAGATTTCCTCAAATAAAAAATAAAGCTGCTTCTTTTTTTGCTCTATTTCAGAAAATGCCCCGAGTCACGTACTATGTCGTAGTGCAAATACAATTTTAAGGCAGCCGCCTTAAAATAAAGCTGTTTGTAAACTGAAGAATGAAGCTACCCACACTAATAGAGCCAGACAGGACAGACACCCCATCCTGTAATCCCATCAACTCGTGTCATCCAGCAGGCAGGCCAACTCTATATGTGAGGCCTGTAATCCTGTAGGGCCAAGACTTCATAGAGAGACTCACCAACACACGGAAACACACAATTTGTCCAAACAAGGACAAGTTGGAAAGCTTTGGCCAATTTGTGCCTAAATGAAGACTCCTCATAAATGCAGAAAAGCACTTATGTCCAACTATAGGACTAAAATGGGCTTTATAAGTGGGGGAAAAGTCACAAAAATGACAAACTGATAATTAAATAAAAATTCTTCCTGGTAAAAGAATACGTCTTTAAAGTAGCATGGGTATAAAAACTCTAAGCCCTCATATGTTTGCTTAGAAACTAAAATATGATTTTTAAATCAACAAAATAAAAGAACAAAACACAAGATGAAGGACATGCGTAAATTCGTCTGCTGTCAGGGCAGTCAATCAACCGGCAGTGCAGGGGAACAATGTGTCGTATTATTATTCAGACACATGCAACAAAAAAAAAAAACAAAAAAAAAAAAAAA